ACTCAAGGTCTCTAACACTGCCGAACATCCAGCTAGGTGCACCACCCTCATTACAGTTAAGGGTGAGTTAAGTTAAGACGGTGCAATTTAAACTTTGCTGCCCTCGGTGAGACTTGCCTAGCTTCTGAGGACTCCCTCACAGAAGCTGGTGAGGGCTACACATTCTACTGGAAGTGTCTTCCTGAGGAGAACGCCAGGATCCATGGTGTAGGACTCGCTCTCGAGTCTTCCTAACTCAGCAGGCTCCTTGAGAGCCCTGTTGGACACACGCCATTACGTATACCGTTGGCTACTCAGAAGTATTCTACCATTATGCCCACACTCTCCCCTCTGCTGAAAATGTCAAGAACGAATTTTATGAAATGCGTGACCAAATTGCAAGCCATCCCAAGGTTAGACAAAATCATATTTCTCGTGATTTTCATGCAAGGATTGGCTCAAATTACAGGATATTACCATCACTAGAGCCCTATGAGTTCTGGGCTGACCATCGCCTGGTCTATTCTATCCATCACCTTGGGATTTGGCCCTCGATTCAGAAATGTGCCAGGCTAAACCAGATCAGCTGCAATGCTCTACAAGATCCAGCCAAGCATCAAGAGCTCCATTGCCACATCTCCATCGCTCTGTCACCTGCTCACTACACTATTAAGCCTCCCACTGTCACTGACATATCTGTCGCAGACACCTGTAGTTCCCCTTCTCAGTCTGGGAAGCTGACAATACTGCCCTGGACCAGAGCCGGAAATGCCACCAAGATTGGTTTGATGACAATACACCAAAATATACTTTTTCCAGCAAAAGAACCCTGCCCACAACACTGCCCATCTTCCCCCAGCCTGCAAGCTCCATTTGCTGAATGCTGATCAAAGGCTCTGTCCCGCTTACAAGAAACGGAAAATGAGTGGTGGAGGGCCAAGGCACACGAGATCCAGGGCCTGGCCGACTCTAACGACCTTCACGGCTTCTACAATGCCATCAGATTTATGTGTGAACTAGCAAGAAACTTCACTAACCCTGTCAGGTTTGCTGATGCCACTACCCTCATCAAAGACCATCAAGGTATTTTGGGTTGCTGAGATGAATACTTTAGTGAGCTTCTCAACTACATCAACTCCACTAACCTCACAGTATAAAGCACCTCCCTTCACTTCAGCGCATAAAAAGATAACTCTGTGTTAGGTGCCAACGCATGTTGGTATCAGTGGGAATGAGCGAGCTGACCGGAAGGCCAAGGCAGTTGCCGTTCAGTCCTGTGATGCTCGTTTTTCTCTCCCACACACTGACTTGAAACCCAGCATCGGTATACAGTGTACATAAGCACGATTTGTGTTAGCTATTACAACAAGCCAGCAAAGACTTAGATAACGATTTTATCTGACCTCGTCTGACCTCTAAGTTCCCAGCACTCGCCGGGCTTAAGCTAAATCCCCACACTTCCGCTCTCATTGGGCTGATTGGCGGACCCGCGATACCACACTCAGTGCGTACCCTAGGACATGGGCTCGTGTGTTCCCCTTACTGTGTAGAATTCTTCCTAAATAAAGAGTCAAGCCGTTATAACCACTATCACTGTCCAACCAGTCATAGCCACTGTATTAAAGGTTCTCTATACCTTTTACAACTGGGCACACAAGACTTACTCATGGGTCGATGATGACTAAAAGTGAACACTTTGTGAGGGATGCCAAGAGCCATTAACGGGCGCAGAAAAATGTGCAATATTCTCAGACCAAAGAAGGATGTACTTGTCTCCCCATATACACTCAAAAATGTATTGGGGGAGCACTGTGACATAGATGGTCTTGTTAGTTTCGTAACGGAGACTTATTTTAATAAAATTTAAATATGCATAATATTTTTGCATGAATTCTATACATTTAGAGCATAATATTTATGCTTTGATTTCCAATATAACATTATTTATTTTTATTCAATAGATATTTATTGATAGATTTTTAAAGTTTTAAATATTTGAACATTTCAAACTAAAAGTGTATTCGCCGCTAATGACCTTAGCTGTTGACGCGGCAGATAATTTTAAATAATCAGTCAATCCCTTCACTTCCTTCAATGAGCTGAACGCTACCCAGCCTTTTCTGAGGTCCAGAGTGCTTTAAAAGGCCTTAAGAACAATAAGAGCAGCAGGAACTGATGGTCTTCCATGGGAAATATTAAAAAATAGCAGGCACCTACTTCTCAGGCGTCTGTATAGTTTCATCTGTGACATCTTGCAAACTGGAAGTCACCCAAAGCATTGGAAGGATACCATCATCCCTCTTTTCAAGCGAAAAGTTGAAAGTCCGTGTGCACCAACTTTAGAGGTATTTCACTTTTATCTCTCACTGGGAAGATCCTAATTAAAGTCAGGCTTGCTTGCCTCCAAGCAACCTCCAACAAGGTGATGCCAGACACCCAGTGTGGTTTCCACAAGGGCAGAAGCACTATGTGCATGATTTTCGTTGCTCAACTCTAGCAGGAAAAGTACAGGATACAAAACATAGACTACCCTGCTTTTGTTTATCTTCCCAAGGCATTTGATAGGGTCAGTCATAATACTCTGTGGGCCATCGCGGTTAAATGTGGCTACCTCTTAAATTTGTCAAGATCCATCTTGAATTTCACACTAGTATGTTTGTTCGTGGTGTGGTGAGAGCCCTTGCTTCTGATCAATTTGAGGTCAAGACTGGTTTGAAGCAGGGCTGCATCCTTGCCCCAACCCTCTTCAACATCTACCTGGTAGCAGTAGCACTCCTCTCTCGGCACAGTATACATATGGAAGATGGCATTGTCTTCCGGTGCCATCTTGAAGGCAGCCTTTTAAATCTCCAAAAACAAAATGGCGCCATCATGACCAGAACAACAACTGCCTATCATCTGTAGTATGCTGACGATGCTGCCTTCATCATCTTTGGAGCAGAACTTCAAAGGTCCCTCTCTACCATGAGCCACAGCTACACCAACACTGGGCTCGTGAAAACGGAAATTTCTATGTCACTGTGTTGCCCATGATGATGAAGTTCACTCCATTACCTTCAGGGTTGGAGCTGAAGACATCATGCAGTTCCGTAGCTTCGTCTATCTAAGCAGCATCCCTTCTTCATCTTGCAACATCGACGACGAAATCCAGAATTGAATCCGATATATATATATGTGTGTGTGTGTGTGTGTGTGTATGTATGTATGTATGTATGTATGTATGTATATGTA